GACTGAGACAGGAGTTGGAGAGGAAAACGTTTAGGGCTAACTCCTCTGGGATAAGACATTGCTGAGAAAAGCAATAGTATGCTGAGGATGGCCTACCTTCATTTCCTTCGGGTTAAGGTTCTTTTTTTAAGAGATATATGTTGTAAAGCTTCCATTGATTAGATGGGTTGACTTTTCTTTCTTGGCGACAGTAATGATCTTGCAGGAGAGGAGGAATCTGGGGACATCTGTACACTAAAACTCCAGCCGACATGAAAGAACAGATTACTTTGTGGCACTCTTATTTCTCTCTTTGATGTAGCTTCATGAACCACAACATGAACACTAAGTCCAACTGACATATGTCCAATGAATACCAAAGCTATTCAGGGGGAAAATTGTAAGAAATGTTAGGGAAAGGGGCAATTACTTTAGGTGTCTTCTGTGAAGTTATCAACTTATACCAGGTGATGTAATGGCATAGCTAAGTGTGGCAAAAAACCTAGACCTGAGCATACTGCATGAATCTATTTGGAAACATAAGAAAGCTTGAACAAAGGATTCAAAGAAATACTCATTGTAAGACCAGGTTAATCATATGAGTAATTCAATATCTAGTATTGATCAGGAATAATTTTTGCTCTTCTGCTTAGATTAGTAGGTCTAAAATGGCCTAATATGATGTGAAAATACTGTCAAGTTGTCAAGTTGCTGACAGCTGATGACAATATACATTGCAGAAACTGAATTGAGGTATGTTTATGCACTATTTATGCTCCTATCTTTTATTCTGCAATACAAGCAAGGTGCATATGTAATTACTAAGATACTTTTAGAAATTCCCTCCAAGAATAATCAAGTCACTATGATTGCAATATCTCCTCTAAGCTTAGTTCATATACTATTAAAAGAGAAGTATGGGATGTATTTTTTTTTTCAAAATCATACTTACCTACAGCCTAGGTGGATGCAGCATTGGTCCAATGTTGCATCTGTCCCCCGCAGACTCTAAGTGTGAGAACTCAGCGATCACATGATTGCTGATCGCTGGGTTTTCACCGGCGCTCTGAGCAGAGAGCAGTGACTGTCAATCACCGCTCACTGCTCTGTCCCCCCATGCTCACTGGAGCACAGGATGGGATGAAAACTGTTTTTTTAAAGTGTGTGTTATTTCCCAAAAATAAAATTACATATATGGGTTGTATTCTACATTTGGTTCCTATTAAATGTAGCCTGTCAATTTTTAATTTCCTATGCCTTTACTAAGTACCTGGTGATCCTGCCAGTTTTCCCTGATTGCTGTTTTAAACTGACCATACTAGGCACAGAAACAGACCATCCTAGTGTGGTCAGTTTGCATCTTTTCTTATGACTTGAAAGCTACAGAGTGCCATGTCTATGCCCAGTGTACCTGTAGTACCATGGACAGTTTCCGCTGTTGTCATCATAAGGAATCCCACCATGAAAAATGCCATACAGCCATCACTGGCGTTCATACGTGTAGGTATGATGTGACTGCAAAGGGACTGCAGGAGATCAGTACTGAGATGCAACAAAGGATGAAAAAACTATTTTTACTAAAAAATGTCAATTGTCAACATTGTCTTGCAAAAAATATTTTATTTTCTACATAATCTATAGACAAAAAAAATAAAATATATTTTACTAAATTCGTTTTGTTAAATAGTTTTATTTTAAATAAAAATTATACATTTTATTTTATTATTTGCCCTGTTTAAAATGACACTAAAATGATATTATTGGAATAAAACAAAGTTGTTTGCAAATAAAAAAGATTTTCTTTTTCAATTCTGAGCATATGTGACAATAAAAATACCAAGCAAAATAAATACAAGAAAAGAAAAAATAATAATGATAAAAAATAGAAATAAAAAATAAGCAGAAAAATAATAAGTAAAAAGAGGACTGAGTTGAGTATGAATGAAATAGTAAATGCAATGAGGGTTGTTTACTATAACTGGAGAGTGCAAAATCTGGTGCAACTCTGCATAGAAATCAATCAGCTTCTATTGTGTATTGTCAAAGCTTAATTGAACAAGCTGAAGTTAGAAGCTGATTGGCTAGCATGCACAGCTGCACCAGAATCTGAGTGCTTCAGTTTTAGTAAGTCTCATCCCAATTTAACAATACATTGTTAGGCTGAATTATTCAATATTACTTGTGCACTATCTAAATTTTTCATTTTTCACAGGAGCATCTGCATTTTAAAGCAGAACACAACTGTACCTCAGCTCCAACAACTGAAAACTCTGTCCATCTATGTCTATAGCTGCAGCCATCTAGATTATTCACGTAGCATCCTTCTTTAACTGCCTTTGAAGGTTGCCTACATGACTTTTACTGGTAAAGCTCTTCAGTCCCCTTCTGCATTGTCCTGTACCTTGACATTAGGTCAGAGTACTTGTCAGAGACACAACAGGTTGTGAGTGAAAATTTTTATTACAATTTTGTACTTTTTTAAAAAAATTAATCTTTTCTTTAAAGTTTTTTTGGAAAAAAAACAAACTCCTTGAGAATCAATTGTTTGTCCTCGAAAATCTTTTTTAGCTAATAAAGCTTTCAACACAGAATTTTGACAGATGGACTTTTGTAGGGATAAGGAACAATTCACAGCCATTTGAGAGAATTGGAGGATCAATTGTTTGTCCTCAAATATCTTTTTATATAATGAATCACTTATGTGATTATTATGCCCAGGCATCCCTTTAGGAAAAAACAATGCTTTTTTCAACACAGAATTTTGACAGATGGACTTTTAGCGACATGGAACAATCCACAGCCATTTGAGAGAACTTTTAAATCTATAAAATACTTTTCTGTCTAATGTTGATGGTAAAATCATAGTTTGTAAAATGTGCTACAAAATATTTATAGTAGATACTTAGCAGGGACCTGTTGCTTTTGAAAACATTTTATGATTTTTTAATAAATGCTTTTTGAGATAAGAATATTAAAATATGCAGTAACATTACTGGCATCACACATGCACCATAATCACTATTAATTATTGTTTCTGTTAGCAATAAACACCTGGCAGAGGTTCAAACTATTCCCTAGTCTATCCAAAAGTTTAAAAAAATTATTACATTTACCTCTTATTTAGCTTACTTCACCTTTTTGCAAAAATGTAGCAAATGCACCAACATTGGCATAATAAAAAAGTACATTTACTAAATATTTGCATTGAGAACTGTGAATTGCAACTGTTTTTTTTTTTTTCAGAAATTCTTTATTTATTTTGACCACAGTACTGATTAAAGAGATCAGTTTTTAAAGACAGTGAATAGTATGGAAACAGAAGCATATCAGTCACATGCAAAGTTCAATTGGTATGTCTACCAAATATGAAACAAAAACTGATAGAAAAGTCATCCAAGAGAATGTTGGCAATAATTCTCCACAAAGCAGGCGAATTGCAACTGTTTCATGGGTGCAGTATATGGAAGTACAGACCTAGCTGGAGAAAGTGCCACTGAACTACAGAGTGGCAAGGAAGGAGGGATCATCAAGTCCCATCTGACCCAGTGGCAGATGGCACTTTTAGTCATTGTTAGTAAACAATCCCCTGTCTGCATAATGCAGCTGTGTGAGTGGAGTAAAAAAAAACACATGATTTTTTAAAATGGTGCACACCCTGATTCAGGTAAGGTGAGGGGTTGCTTTGGGTTTTGGGAAGGGTGTTTTATACCTTGTTTCAAGTTACACTCTAAATATGGGTGTAACATAAAATATGGCATAAAACATGGACAATTCCTTTAACTTAGTTTATCTGTAATGGCTCTAGGAGACAGATGTAGGATGTCACCTGATTTATGACAGTTGCTACTAAGACGATTGCCTTAACTTGTTCTGATAACACATACTTTCTTCCAGAAGTTTAATAATGCTACATGTATGAAACAGTCTCGGTGGCTGCTTACATTGTTGCAGATTATTTATCCTTTATTATTTCTCAGTTGTATTTTTCAAGTGTATGTAAACCCAAAGTTTAGAGTTGTGAAAACGCCTCCCTTATTGACTTGTAAATGTAGTTGTGCAAGGTTTTTATATTATTATTTGTAAATGTGCAAGTAAGGCGTCATGCACACTGGACATTTGTAATATGGTGGTTAGGATCATCTGGCATTTTATTTCTGCCTCTAAACACCACACATTGTAACAATGCACCAGGGGTGTATTTACCACAAGGCAAACAAGGCATTTGCCTAGGGTGGCATATTTTAGGGGGGCAGCACTGCCCACTGGAAGAAGGGACATATGCAGCATGGGGACCAGGCGGGAACTGAGAGAGGCTACAGGCAGCTTGATGGTGTATGCAGACACTGACTGTCATTCCCAGGGATGTCCAGAGCTGTAACAGGTGGGTGTCTCTCATCAGGGGGGTGGGGGGGAGGGGTTAGTGAAAGACTCTCTTTGGTGAGGGGGGATGATGAGGCAGGGATGTTGTTGGTCACTATCAGGCTCTTTCTGTGGGGGGAGTGGAGGGGATCTGGTGTTGTTCGGTGTCAGGATCTCTCCGGGGAGAGTCTGATTTTTTGTGTTGCCTAGGGCAGTAAAAAACCTAAATACACCACTGCCATGCACACATAGGCATTTAGTGGAGTTTAGAGGCAGAAATAGTTGCACTACCAGAAAGTGAAATGCTGCAGGAAAGCTCTTGTCATGCTGAGCTAATCAAAATGACCACAGCTGATCACCATTGGCCTTGTGTGAAGTTGATTAGCTACACCTGATTGAGTTTGTAAGTCATTAGGAGGGGGGTGGTCCTTCGTCCAACACAGTGATTCTGTTTTTGATTTTTTTTTTCTGAAAGGTCATTGTTCTACAGCTGTAAATACAGCTGGATAACATACAAACTGTCTGTCTTAATTTCAGGCTGCAAAGCAACAAATGTGATTATTTTACAGTGCAGTGTTCCAGTAGTCTTCTTTTTTTTCAGCATGGGTCCTGCAAAATTCTAGGTGGGCTTTTATGGGCATGGGCTTTAGGAGACGCTTTCTTCATGTACGACACCCATGTATGCCATTCCTTTGCAGTGTATGCCATATTGTGTAACGGGACACAATCACCCCAGTTTGGCTTCCTACTTCTTTAACTGCAGCAAACTTGCATGGTGATTTTCTTAAACCCTTCTCATCAGAAGACGCTCCTGTTAGGGTGTTAACTTCCATGGACAGCCTGAACATCTCTGTGAGATGGTTGCAGTTCCTTCTTTGTTACATTTTTGTATCACTTTTGCTACAGTATTCTGACTGATAAGTAAAGCTTTGCTGAACTGCTTGTAGCCTTCACCTTTCTTGTGTAAAGAAATGTTTTTCTTTCTCAGGCCTTGTGACATTTTTCTTCCATGTGGTGCCTTGTGACATTTCTCTTCCATGTGGTGCCATTGCTGACAGCATGAAATGGGAAAGAGTTTTCTTTGTTAATTACTCCCATTTAAAATCAGTTATCTGCTGGATACCTGTTTAATAAAAAAAAATAGACTCACCTGAATTCTTGTTAATTAGGAATTTGTTGTCAAAAAATTAGCTTGTGTATTCATTTTTGCAACATGGTCTTGAATTAATTTGTTAGGAAAAACAGTTTGCTTTAACTGATCTGTAACTGACAATAAAGTATTAGCTGAAGTTTAGCTTCAATTTATTAGCGTATTTAAATCTGCTAGTACATCTAACACTTTGCTCCCCTGGACTGACAATGCAGCAGTCCAAAAGGTGCCCCTGTGCTCATTCATCCAGAGTGGGGGCACTCTAATACAGGTGGTGTGTAACTTGCCAGACTACCAGGTGAAAACAGAAGGAACAAAAAAGAAGGAAGGCTAAAAAAAGAAAACTAATGCAGCCACCACATCCAATGATTGGTAAGTTACTTTATGATACATTCACTGTCATAGCTATACGGGTCCCAGGGGTCGCAATGGTGACCCTGCCTTTCTCCTATATACAGGGACCTTCGGATCCTCTCTTCTCCTGATCCCTCTCTCTCCCCCATCCTGTATACAGTGTCCTGTGCCCGCACTGTGCTCCCGATACCGCCTTCCTCCCCGGTCATGCAGCTGTCCATGTCCTTGTACTCTGTGTCTGGGACCCGGCATCTCTTCTGCTGATCATCCGATTATCCTTCCCCCCCAGGGCTCACCTGCTCAGTGCTGTGGTGTCTCAGCCCTCTCATCCTTCTGGTCTCATCTTCAGCTGGGATGGGGCTCCCAGCAGGCCCTGGACTGCTGCTTCTCCTTGGGTACCTGTGGATCTGTGCATTGCAACCTAAGCACCAAAGAGGTGAGAGACAGCACAAGAGGGGCCAGTGAGAGAGAGATGGGGGGAGGGGCCAGGGGCCATAGTGAGAGAGATGGGCCCCACTGAGAGAGAGCAGGAGGGAGGGGCTCAGGGGCCACTCTGAAAAAGAAAGGGCTATACTGAGAGGGGCCAGGGGCCACACTGAGAGGGAGACAGAGAGAGCTGCTATGAGATGCAATTCACATGTAGTTCACAGTGTGAACTTAGGCTTACATACACACCCACCACTTGTGGGACTATCTTGATGTGTGGTGGAAGCAGTGGGTGGTAGTAGGGGGGGCCCTTGTCAACTTGTCAACTTTTGCATTGAAGCCCACAAGCTTTAAGCTACACCTCTGGTTACATTCTTGGTTTGGGGTTTAACACCGCTTTAATTTAAAAAAAAAAAAAAAAAAAAAAAAGGTTACATACATTATGAGCCTGAGGTTGTGGAATTGCCTAATCATGCTGGATAACGAATTACGTTAAAGCATGAATTATTTTGAAAACTATGCATTATGTTTTGGATGGGAATAGAATCAACATTTAACAATTTTGTATGTAACTAAAATATTTTATCGTTTACTTTTAAATACACTACTCAAAAAAAATAAGGAACACTTTGAAAACACATCAGATCTCAATGGGGAAAAATATCATGCTGGATATCTATACTGATATGGACTGGGTAATGTGTTAGGAACGTAAGGATACCCCATCATTTGATGGAAATGAAAATTATCAACATACAGAGGACTGAATTCAAAGACACCCCAAAAATCAAAGTGAAAAAATGATGCAGCAGGCTAGTCCATTGTGCTGAAATTTCATTGCAGAAACTCAGAATGGTCCTCAGTAGTTTGTATGGCCCCCACGTGCTTGTATGAATGCCTGACAATGTCGGGGCATGCTCCTAATGAGATGAAGGATGATGTCGTGGGGTATTTCCTCCCAGATTTGGACCAGAGCATCACTGAGCTCCTGGACAGTCTGAGGTGCAACCTGGTGGTGTTGGATGGACCAAAACATGATATCCCAGAGGTGTTCTATTGGATTTAGGTCAGGTGAGCATGGGGGTCATTCAATGGTATGCATTCCTTCATCCTCCAGGAACTGCCTGCATACTCTCGCCAGTTGAGGCCAGGCATTGTCATGCACCAGGAGGAACCCAGGACCCACAGCACCAAAGTAGGGTCTGACAATGGGTCCAAGGATTTCATCCCGATACCTAATGGCAGTCAGGGTACCATTGTCTATCCTGTAGAGGTCTGTGCGTCCCTCCATGGATATGCCTTCCCAGACCATCACTGACTCACCACCAAAACGGTCATGCTGAACGATGTTACAGACAGCATAACATTCTCCATGGTTTCTCCAGACCCTTTCCTATCTGTCACATGTGCTCAGGGTGAACCTGCTCTCATTTGTGAAAAGGCATTTGGGCACAGGGCACCAGTGGCAGACCTGCTAATTCTGGTGTTCAATGGCAAATTCTAATCAAGCTCTATGGTGCCAGGCAGTGAGTTACAGGGTCCCCTCATGAATGAAGGGGTCTGTTTCTGATTTTTGTTCAGAGATATTCACACCAGAGGTCTGCTGGAGGTCATTTTGTAGGGCTCTGGCAGTGCTCATCCTGTTCCTCCTTGCACAAGGAGCAGATACCAGTCCTGCTGATGGGTTTAGGACCTTCTATGGCCCTGTCCAGCTCTCCCAGAGTAACTGCCTGTCTCCTGGAATCTCCCCCATGCTCTTGAGGTTGTGGAGGTTGTGCTGGGAGATACAGCAAACCTTCTGGCCATTACACATATTGATGTCCCATCCTTGAGCAGTTGGACGGCATGTGCAACCTCTGTAGGGTCCAAGTATCGCCTCATGCTACCAGTAGTGACACTGATCCTAGTCAAATTTTAAACTAATGAAAATCAGAAAAGATGAGTAAGGAAAAAAATGTCAGTGACCTTCATCTGTAAAATCATTCTTGTTTTGGGGGTCATCTCATTGTTGCCCTGTTGTTAATTTCAGTTGAAAGCAGTTGAAACAGATTAGCAACCCCCTCTGCTACTTAACTGACCAGATCAATATCCCAGGAGTTTAATTAACGTGATGCTATACTCTGATAAAAAAAGTGTTTCTTTAATTTTTTTGAGCAGTGTATAATCTAGAGAAAATCTAAAGAAAATTACCTTCCTGGATACAGTAATCATCATAAATAAGGATAGAAATATAATAACAAAGCTATGTAGAAAAGCATAATCTATTAATATACATTGCAAGCAGATCATCATCCATCATCAGCCATCATCCAGAATATATAAATATGCTGTCCCAGAGGGACGATGATTAAAAGTGATGTTTAGTAGTCCATACATTTTGCTTCTTTGTTATGATCAGGACAATACGTAAATAAATAATGCTTTTTTTTCTCAGGTAAATACAAAATAATGCATATTAATATTGTGTTACCTTTTAGAGCCAGCAGATGAAGCCATAAACTGGTTTGATCTGTCTACTAAGACTCCCTGTTGTAAGATGAGGTTGCTTACAGAACACCATTGCTCAAGCTAAAATTTACAAATACAAGTAAATGAGTCAGAGAAGTGACTTACTGTATCCCTTATTGGACACTTACCACCAAAGTTTCAATCAGACAAATTATACCCCCAAGCAGCCAACTTTTACTTTGCTTAGATAACCCATAGTGATCTAGGAATGTTTAGTAACTTAAAGTTTGTAAATATGAGAAATTAGAAAATTAGAAAAATGTTAGAAAACAAAAATGGTTCAAATAAAATTGTTACAAAAGCAATACAGTCTCTCTTTAAGAACTAGACACAACTGTACTTTAAATAAAGGCTTTGAATGTCATGGAGACAATTGGAAAAAATAGATTACAAAAAAGTCAACCCACCTCTACTTATACAGAGTGATACAAATACTTTAATTAAAAAAAGGAATCTGAACGCAAGGATAGGAAAATGGAAAGTATTACTGGATACTGTATCCAACACAGTGAAAGATAAAAAAAAGATGTCTAAAAGTCCTGCTATAGCGAAACATATTTTATTGTGAAAACTGTATGTGGTTAATACCTGTAATGATAATATTCAGTATATGAACTGCTTTTTATATTTCACATGCCTATATGTATGTATTTCCCCACATTTACATGCAGACCAAGATGTCCAGCACAAGTGACAGTTACAAAGGCTGGTGCAAATCATATTACACTGCTGGGGGACTTAAAATGTTCAGCTTTTATTCACACAGTTTACATTTTTTTTTCCCCAATAGTAAAAATTATTGTTGGAACATTGTACTTAAAAACGTGCTAGCTGGAGTTGGGCTTTAGGTTGTCTTTCACTCACTTAAAGTAGAACTATACTCACCTTCTATCCAGCACTGCAGTGTCACAGAGCTCCCTATCGGCCAATGTCATCTTCAGCAGGATCAGTTTCCAGGTACAGATCTTCGGCCAATTACTATTGGCCCAGCTGAGATAACGTCACTCCCCTAAATGCTCGGGAGTTCATCCATCTTGGCATTGTCGAAATTTGTATGCTGTCCACAGCTCAATGTACAGTGTGTACAGGCAGATAAGCAACTTTAATGCAGGAGAGAAATACAGTGTGTCTCTGCATTAAAAATCCTGCCTATTTGCCAGTTGGTTTTTGTAGGTTAAAGTTCCACTTTAAAGTCCATTTTTTGTGAATTCATTATTTAACCACTTGCCTACCAGGGCAATTTTTACATTTTTTAACATACATGCTAAACCAGCATATTTTTTTTGCTAGAAAATTGCTTAGAACCCCCAAACATTATATATTTTCTTAAAGCAGAGGCCCTGGAGAATAAAATGTTTGCTGTTGCAATTTTCTATGTCACAGGTCATATGCACAGCTGTTTATCAAACACAAACCATCAGGAAAAAAATACATTTAAATGCACTTTAGTGCACACAAACACAATATAATAATTACTTGGTAAAATATAAAAGATGATATTGCTTAGTGCAAATAGATACCAAACATGTCAAGATTTAAAATTGCGCACGCCTCTGAAATTTCAAAAAATGTCCATAGACTACGCTTTAAAAGCATTTACAGTTTAGAGTTATTGCTCTAATTCTG